AGTTTTGTTATCTTCATTGCAAAGCCTATGGGGAGAGGAGCACCTTCTGGTGAAGTTACCTGCAGCTTATGCCTCCTGGTGACAAAGGCTGATGCACATTTTGCCCTGTCATGAAGTTTAAGATGCTACAACTTAGCCATTGCCTTTAACCCTGCACAAAATGACATAAGAAGATGCAGTGGCTGGGGTGGAATCTAAAATACACACTTGATTTGCCATTTCAGTGAAAGTTCACAAGAAGGATGGCTTCATGGGGAGTGGGGCAGCCTCTCCGCACTGCCAGGCTACATCAAGACCAGATGCATCTCTGGGAGACATGACTGAGGTCAACCATAAATTAACAGGCTCACTGTGAGGGGGAAAAATTATAATAATGGGTCCAATTGCATGGTCTGGTATGAAGGAGGCCAGATGAGATGGGCCAATGAGTCCTTTCTGCGCCTATGAACTGTCTGAATCCTTATCCGGAGGGGGAAAAATGGCAAGGGTTCCCTTTGCCATTTTACCATGGCTGATTCTTAATCAATAGCAGGGCTGGCGGTAGCTCTTGTGCAATACCACTTTCCCCAGAGCTGGGCCCTCTTCCCCTGCAATGCTCCCAACCCCTGCTGGTCTCAGAAGAATTGAGCCCAAAGCTCCACATAGCAATTCAAATGCATCACCAGACATTAGGCCACCGGGTTAACCACTGTTTAATTTCGTCACATTTGTTTGTGAGTTATGTACGTGCCTTTCTTTTGTCAACATCTCCTTTTAGAAAGGATATTGATTTTGTTTTCAAAGGCTCTCGAAAATAAAATGAATGACTACATTCTAAGGAAGAGTCATTTTCTCAACAGCTGTAAATAATTTATTGTTTGCAACCCACCCAGATCAAAAGATACTTCATCAACTGATGTGGCAAAATCTGGTGCAAGCTGCATTTCTATTATCTCAGATCCAATTAACCATTTGGAGCAGACTAAAACATAACTAGATCAAGCCAGAATCAGATTAATATCCAATCCATAATCACATTAATCACAATCTGTCCATAATTAGCCATCAGATAATCCCATTGGACAGGAGGTGACATGCACTATCCCATTATCTCATTAATTATCTATTTTCAGTATCAAACATTGTCCCCAAACACAAGGAAATGGTTTTTAGAGGAAAAATGGATAGGGAATTCTCCTTTTGCTACATCCTCCTTATGCAAGTCCCAGTGGTTTGACATTGGGAGTTTTACACCATTTCTTTGTTTTTACATGTTATGTTAGAACCAAGAGCTGTCTGGTTTTTTGAGAGATGTCATCTTTGTAAATTAAATATGGCTATCTTAGGAAGATGGATAAATAAAACATTTGTTTCATATGAACAAGTTTATGAAAGAAAAGAAAACCCGTCATCAAAGGTTTTAATGGTAACATGATAACAATAGCTTTGCAATGCTAAATCTTATTGCAGATGGTTCCTGTCCTTTTTTGTAATGTAAGTGAAATTGCATTCCATCTGTTTTAATTTTATAATGGACTTAATCCGTGGCTGGCTCTGAAAGAATCAGCATTTACTGCCTTTGCAATCTGCTGCAAATAAAAAAAATTGTTACCCTTTCCCCTTTCTAGAGGGAACTTGTATTTCTATTTGGGAGGAAACCCCATAGAGCTGCTCTGCAGAGAGCGGGGAGTGCTGTTAGCTGCCCTCCCCCCGAAGCCAGGCAGCCCCTGCCAGCTCTCGCACCAACCCAACCTGAATTGCTCTGAAAGGGATTGAGAACTGGACACTGGGTGGAGGACAGCAGGAGGAATTAGCGTGGCAGGAGATTCTGTTTGGTTTTGACCAGCAAATACCTCCAGCAGTTCCAAGTGACCTGAAAGCAGTTTTCCAGAGCTCCCTCCTGAGCTGACTTGTTCTAAAGTTTTATGATGTGCTTTCCCTTCCTCCCCTTCAAAGGTACCAACAATTAACCTGTTTGTAAATGGTGGTGGTCCTGGGCTGGGTTTATGCCTGTTGCCATTACGTGTAGCCATTTTCAAGTTTTTCCTGCATCACATAGAGGTTCAGGGCTTTCGGCATTTCCCTGGCTAGTCTTTTTTTGCAGTTTTCTACTAAAGTGCCTGTGCAGTACTGCCCACCCTGTTCCTACCTGCCCGGTCACAAACCGAGTCCAGCTCCACCATTCCTGCCGGGTGTCTGCTCTGTACTCCTGCAGGTGAGTGCCTGCAGCACAGCTTTGTGCCGGTTTAGAGAAGTTTAGCTGGCTTGGCTGTAACCTTTCTTATTCCTAAACTGGTGGGAGGTTTGGGATAGCATAGAGGACCCTGCCCTCAAGTGAGAAAAGGGTGATGCAACATTGAGCATCCCTGCCAAGCTGCTATTTTCTTAGACGTGTCTTATTCTCCTATCACTCTGACATTTTATTTTTGTATTTTATTGTTAACACATGCAGATACTGACTCACTCAGGACTCCGTGGATTCCAGCTCAGGCTGAAGTCACCCTCTTCCCTGCCAGGCACCCAGCAATGGGCACAATGCCCTGTGCCCACAGCCACAGCAGTGCTGTGGAGGTTCCCATCACCCGTCCCATGGGGTCACCCCAGTCTGAAGAGCCAGCCAAACTTTTCCAATTCCCTTTGCATCACTCACCTCCCAGCTCAGCTCTGCTGCTGGCAAATGAGCCACAGTAACAGCAGGCAGCAGTCACACCACAAACCCCAACAGGCGCTATGGCCACCCTGCCACTGCCACACAGGCGGGGGACACGTGGACTCACCCTGCCCTGAGGATGTCATTGCCACACATGCCGCACCTTCACACATGCAGAGGCAGGCAGAGATGCCAAAATCCCCTGGTGACAAACGCCCCTGCTGAAGTGGGTACCCCAAATGCCCTCCTGCTTACCCCCTTGGCTCTTGTGCAAACTTTAATGTTTGCTTTCAATAATTGGGGTTCTCAAAGGTGTAGCAGGGGCTGTGGTCAGGCAGAGGAGAGTGGATCAAATAGTCAAATAGCCAGTTACCCAAATTGTCCTCTCCCCCTCCTCAGCTTCTGGGGTTTCATACCTACAGGGAGCTTGACTTGTACAAAAAATAAGTGCTTCAGCTGGAAAACTCATCCTGCCTCCCTTCTCCGAGCAAAATGAGCACGGTCTGACCTTTCTGAACCAAAATTTAAAGTCATCATGTCCTTCCCAAGCCATACAGGTTGGCCTATGCCTATCAAATTCTGTGAGTAAAATACAAAAGATAAATTGTGTGGAGAGGAGGGGCAGGACCAAAGCCCCAGGACAGCAGCAGTCTCAATTCCAGCACTTACAAGCTTTCCTGGACCTTTTGAGCTACTCGTGCTGCTACGCTGTGAAGTCTTTGGGAATTTAAAACCGAGCCAAAGGCCACTTAAGTGGTCTCCCTATTTTTCTGCTAATGCACAGGAAGCCCATAGAGACTGGTGGTAAAGAGGGAGGAAAAATGAATAGAAAGGTTAAAAAAACAATGGGAAAGGTTCAGCTGTAGAAGAAACATGGGATCAGGTGCGCGAAAATGCGGTAAAATACTATTTTTCCCCGTAACTTCAACTCATCACGGAGCTGTTGCCCGGGACAGCCGCCCGACAATGCCGGCGGTCCCGTTCGCGTCCGTCGGAGCGGCCCTCCCGCGCACGCCCCCTCCAGCAGTGAATCGCACCGCGGGCGCGCAGCTTTGAGCTGGCGGTCGCCACAGAGCTCCCTGTGGAGACATCCCTGTCTCGTCTGCCGTGGGGGTGAGCCTCCATGAAAAGCGGGGCACTGTCCCGCAGTGCCCGGCCGCGGGCACCTGCTTGCGGCACGTTGAAAAGCGGGGGTGAGGGACAACGAAATAGAAGGTGAAAGAGAGGGCAAAGAACAGAACAAGGGAAATAAAAGAAGGAGAAAATAAAAGGCTAATTAAAAGTCAAGGAAAAGAACAGGGAAGACGGGAAGAAGGAAAGCTGAAATGAATCTCCACCGGCTCGGGCTGCCGGCACCGCTGTCCCTCCGCGCGCAGGACCGGTGCGCACGGCGCTGGGTGCAACGCCGGGTGGCTGGGGGTCCCGCCGGCGGCCGGGTTGGTGCCGCGGCTGCCCGGGACGCAGGGCGCTGAGGAGCGCACCCACCGCTCCCGTGGAGGAGCTCCTTCCGCGGCGCGCAGAGCTACCCGCCCCGTCCGAGCCGGCGTCGGGCCGCGCCAGGCCGGCATCCCGCGGGGCGGCGTGGGGAGTCCGCGCCGCTCCGCACCGCTCCGCGCGCCACCGCGCGCCCATTGTTCACCACGGCCAATCCGCGGGCGCCCTACCCGCGGCCGCCAATCGCCTCTGGGGGCCGCGCGGTGAGGTCAGCGCCGCCCCCCCCCCCCCCGCCCTCCCCGCGGCCGGTGCGCGCTGACATCACGGCGCGGCCCGGCGGGGCGGGCCCGGGGGGGCGGGCGCGGCCCCCGCCCCGCGCGGCGCGGGTAGTGGTGGAGCGGCGGCGCCGCATCCCGCATCGCTGCCGGTGCGCAGGGGGCCGCCCGCATGGTGGACATCCTCCTCCCGCGGCCGCTCCCGGGCGCCATGGGAGAGCCCTCCAAAAGTAAGTGTGCGCCGCGCGAGGCAACGCGGTTCTGGGGCGGGCGGGCGCGGCTGAGCGGCCGCGGAGCGCTGCGGGACTGACTGCCGCGCCGCCGCTGCCGTCGGGCAGACCTGCGGCCGTCGTGCCGCCCCGGACCCGCGGGCGCCGTGACAGCGCCGGGAAGGGCTGCGGCACCGTGTTGGGAGAGGGCGGCTGCCGGCTTGGCCCGTGGCATCTCCGGTGCTTCTGTTCCCGTTTGTGCCCCTCGCGCGCCGGCCACGCTGGCTCCGCTTCTTACCGAATGCCTGTCCCTTCGGCTGTCTGCGCTACTGATCTCGGGTCTTACTGCTGCTCCCTCCCGTGTCTTTCTCTCCTTCGCTCCGCTTTTTCTTTCTTTCCTTCCCCGTTTCCCGACCTGCGTTATTTCTCTTTCCGTGTTTCGGGTTGTTTTTTTTTTCGTTTTTAAATTTCTCTTTTCGTTTTTATTTATTTCTTGTTTTTTCGATTCTTCTGGATTTGTTTTGTTTCCAGGTTTATTTATCTTCCTTTGATTTCTTGTCTCTTACTGTTTTCATTTGTCCATGTTCCCATTTTAACTGTCTCTTTCTGGGTTTTTGGCTGGTTTTATTTCTCTTTCCATCATTCTGTTTTCATTTCTTTTTCTTTATTTCTTCTTCTTTATTTCTTCCAGTTTTTCCTCAGCTTTTGTTTTAATAACTCTGCTTTTATTTCCTTTTCCGAAATTCTACCTTTATGTCTCTTTCTGCATTTATTTCCATCGATCAAGTTTCTTCTTCTTTTCCGGCTCTATTTTTTTCTCTTTCGTTTCCTGTGTCCTTTCTTTCTCTCCATGTTTCTGTCTTTTTGTCTCCGTATTTGGAAAAAAAAAGAAAAAGAAAAAAGAAAGAAAAGTCAAAAATAAAACAAACAAAAAAAGTGTCTTTCCCTAATTCCTGGCACTTCTGCTTTCACTCATTGCTGCCCCTGACTGTGCCCCGCTCGCTCCCGGCAGGGCGGCCGGGGCTGGCCCTGTGCGCGGGCTGCGGGGGCCGCATCCAGGACCCCTTCCTGCTGCGGGTGTCGCCGGACCTGGAGTGGCACGTCGCCTGCCTCAAGTGTGCCGAGTGCGGGCAGCCCCTGGACGAGACCTGCACATGCTTCCTGCGCGACGGCAAGGCCTACTGCAAGCGGGATTACAGCAGGTGACCCCGAATGTGCCGACACTCGTTATGTGTATATATATATATATATATATATATGTATATATATAAAAATCGAACGCAAACTTGAAAAAGCACAAAAGCCCCTTAAGACCCTGAATTTCCCCCAAACGGAAACCTGATTGTCGGCCGTTGCCCGTCCCCGCGGCGCCTCCCGGAGACGCCCGACGGCGCGGCCGGGGTCCCTGACAGTGCCTCGCGTCCCCGCAGGCTCTTCGGCATCAAGTGTGCCCAGTGCCGGGCGGCCTTCAGCAGCAGCGACCTGGTGATGCGCGCCCGCGACCACGTCTACCACCTGGAGTGCTTCCGCTGCGCAGCCTGCGGCCGACAGCTCCTGCCTGGCGACCAGTTCTGCCTGCGGGAGCGCGACCTGCTCTGCCGCGCCGACCACGGGCCGCCCCTCGACGGCGCCGCCGGCCGCGGGCCGCGCAGTCCCGCGCTGCCGCCGGCCGCCGCCGCCGCACACCTCGCAGGTACCGGCGAGAGGGAGGGACAGGACGACAGGGGACGGGAGGGCTGCGGCGGGCGGGCGGCCATGCTGACGGTGTGTTACCTCCCTGACCGCCTCAGAGCCGGTGCCCGGGCGGCCGCCTGTCCCGCGGCCGCCGGCGCACAAGGCAACGGAGAAGACCACCCGCGTGCGAACGGTGCTGAACGAGAAGCAGCTGCACACGCTGCGGACCTGCTACGCCGCCAACCCGCGCCCCGACGCCCTGATGAAGGAGCAGCTAGTGGAGATGACAGGGCTCAGCCCCCGCGTCATCCGAGTCTGGTTCCAGAACAAGCGCTGCAAGGACAAGAAGAAGTCCATCCTCATGAAGCAGCTCCAGCAACAGCAGCACAGCGACAAGACGGTGAGAGCCCGCCCGTCCCGCCGGGGAGGGATGTTGGGAGGGTTGCCCCGGGCCGCGGGCTCTGGCGGCAGCCGCGCTGAAGCCCCGTGTGCCCGCAGAGCCTGCAGGGCCTCACCGGGACACCGCTGGTGGCCGGCAGCCCCATCCGCCACGAGAGCGCCGTGCAGGGCAGCGCCGTGGAGGTCCAGACCTACCAACCGCCCTGGAAGGCGCTCAGCGAGTTTGCCCTGCAGAGCGACCTGGAGCAACCCGCCGCTTTCCAGCAGCTGGTGAGCCGCACCGCACCGCGCCGCGCCGGGCCGCGGGGGGCGGGCAGGGGAGCTGCGGGATGGGGAGGGGGCGCGGTGGGGCCCGCGCCACGCTCTCACCACCGCTGCTCCCCCAGGTCTCCTTCTCAGAGTCTGGCTCCTTGGGCACCTCCTCCGGCAGCGACGTGACCTCGCTGTCCTCCCAGCTCCCCGACACCCCCAACAGCATGGTGCCCAGCCCGGCCGAGACGTGAGGCGGCCCGGCCGCCCGCCGCCGCGGGACTTCCGCATGCCTGCGCTCCCTGCATGAGACACCCGGCCCCGGGCCGCTCCCAGAGCGCCGGACAAACGCCTTTGTTTTTTAATTATTCTTATTTAAAAACAAACAAAAAATGTGTTACTGACGGCCAAAAAAGCACCGGGATCCTCGCTGCCTTCACCAGACTGGAGAGAGAGCCCTTGCCCTCATTATTTCGTTATTTTGTTGTTTTGGTTTTGTTTTTTTTTTCCCTGCGGATTTCGATGTTTCTTTTCCCCAAAGAAACGCGGATTTCCCCGCTGGAGCCCGGCATGGTGACAGGCTACCTCGCCCGCCCGCCGCTTGCGCCGGGGACGGCTTTTCTTCCGTTTTTGAAAGGGAAAAGGAAAAAGAGAAACACAAAACGGGGAAGAGATTTCCCCGGCCTCCGCGCCTTCCCGCGACCGCGGAGCCGGCCTGGCCCTCCCCTCCGCGGAGCCGCTCCGTCCAGCCTCATCTCACGCCGATGCCTCTCCCGGGCCCCGGCGCCCGGCCCCGCACGATCGCTGGAAAGACGGGACACGGAAAAGAGACTTTTAAACGGGGAAACCAGTACTAATGTTAACTTATCAATGGACGGAGGACGGATTGTTTGAGCCTTTAACGAACAAAAGTAAGTTATTGTTATTTATTGTCAGAGTCAGCGGTTGAATAGTGGGATTAAATATTTTGGACTTAATAAAAAAAGAGAAAGAAAGAAAGGGAAAGGATTGAAACGAATAAAAAGGCGTGGAAGAACGGTGAAGGCGCTCCCCTTGCGCTGAGCCGCGCTGCCGGCCAGGTCGGGGAGCAGAGCGGGGCGCGGAGCCGAGCGTGTCGCAAGATGGGGCGCGGAGCAGAGCGGGGTGCGGATCGGGGTGCCAGTCAGGACGGGCGGAGCTGACTGCACGGCCTCACCGCACAGCTCTAATCGGCTTTCCCTCCCCGGGCCGCTTATTTATAGCTGGGGAGGCGGAGCGCAGGTTTCTTTTTCGGAGCAGCCCCCGGGCTCTACCGGGTCGTGCCCGCACCTGCCGCAGTGCGGGGCAGCCTCGCCTCCTCCCCGGGGGCGGCGGCGAGCCGAGCCGAGCCGTCCCCTCGCGTGTATTCATCCTCCCCGTCTAGACTCAGGCAGCGGCTCCTTATCTGCCTTTGGCATCACCTGGGAGCGCGGAGGGGGCCGCCCCGGCTGCCGCTACCTCCCCGTTACCCCGGCGGGAATGCGCTCAAGGCCGGGTCCCGGCGGGACCGCAGGCCCGTGCAGCCCTAAACCACGACGAACGGCCCCCACGACCCCATCACAGGGCAATCGGTCCCGCAGCCTCGGGGAGGCGGCGGGGGAGAGCTGGGCCCTTCCCGAGCACCCCGGGCCGCAAGGCACCGCGGAGGGGACGGCTCCACCACCACCGAGGGGTTGAGGGTGTGCGGGAGCTGGGCCCTCAGCCGAGCCGACCCGCAGCTGCCGTCGGGGGTCACGCAGCATCCCGGCTGCCGGGGACGTGCCAGCGAGAGCGGCGAAGAGGCCGCCGCAGTCGGGGGCGCCTCTGCTGCCGCCCGGGGTGCGGCCCCCGGCCCGAGGCAGGTGGGGAAAAGGGTCTCCCGCCCCCCCCCCCAACCCCGCGGCGCGGCCCCCGCCGTTACCTGCGTCCGGCCGGGTCAGGTTTCGGCTCTCCGCGCTCTCCGGGGCCTGGTCTGAAGCAAGCAGTGTCCGCCATCCGGGAGCGGGGCCGCCCAGGCCGTAAAACCGGCTCCGCGGAGGCGGCCGGGGGACCCGAGCTCGCGCCTCAGGCAGGCGCGGGTGGCCTCGGGTTTGCCGCCGCCGGCTCAGGTGCAGATCGGGCCGGACCTGGCCCGGCCGCTGGGGCCGGCGAGAGGGCCGCGAAAACGGGGACGGTTCCAGCCCCTGCCCCCGCGGCCGTGGGCACCCCGCGATCGGCGCGAGCCCGCCCTGAGGGAGCCGCGTCCCCGCCGCGCAGGGCCCCCGGGGCGTCTCGCGCCCCCTCAGAGCCGAGCCGCGCGCGCGGGAAACGCTCCTGGCGGAGGCACGCGCCGTGTAAGCGCGCAGCGGCGCGGCTCGAGAACGGGCGGCGTTCAGCGGCACGGAAACGTTAGAAACGCGCGGGGGGCAGCGGGGGCGCGCCCGGATCCCCGCACTTAAACGCGAGCTCTCCTCGGAGCCAGCGCTGACGAACGCTGCGGGCGCCGGATCCCTGCGAACATCCCGGCATCCCCGCGAGCGGCAGCCCAAACACACCGACAGTGGCACCGCGGAACGCACAGCTCGGGCAGAATAAGTTACTTTATTACAAGATACAGAGAACGTGTTTTCTTCCATCGGCAACCTTACTTGAGCAGCTCCGCAGTGCACGCACCTCCACATCACAGGGTAGAAGCTACCCAAATCATCATCACATCGCAGACGTGAACAAAATAAACTCAAATTATCAAAATTACAAAACAGAACTCAAAAGTATCTACAGTACTTATGATATAAATAGTGCAAATTATGTATCTACAGCATAAGTATTCAGAGTATCAAAACCGTTTTGGAATAGCCTTGTAAAGAAGGGAGTCAGCAGGAACGGGGCAGCATGATGACGCTAGGGACTGTAAAACCAAATACAACGCTTATTTCTTCAAGAAGAACTGCCGAGCTTCTTCCCAGGACTGCCGGGGGAATCTGTTGGACAGCTCAAGATAATCTTGAGAAGTGAAACATTTCTCTGTTGAAGATAGAACAAAAAATTACCAAGTTATTCCCTCTTTCAGATCAGATGGCAAGAAACCAAGAATAACGAGTTCACAGACAATTCCAGATACTCTAGATCATTTACTCCTCTCTCCCTATCAAAATCTTCCCAGATCATGCGATGAAGCTTTTGTAGAGCTCTGGACATTGAGGTTTAGCTTTAAAAATGGGGGTTCTGATGAGCAAAGGCTGAGATCTTTAAGCTTTTGGACAAGGCTCTGCTTTATGCATGGCAACATTATATACATCTTTATGCACTTCATATTCTTGGACCCCCCAGGGACCAGCTCAGCCTCACTCAACTTTGGACACTCTCAGCGGTGCTCCCTCTGCCTAGCAGCTTCTCCCTCCACAAAGGGCTGTGGAGGAGTTTTGCTCCCTGACTCCCCCAAAGCTCCCAGCACAATTACACAGGCAGCTTTCACTCCTATGAGTACTGCTGGCGATGTGAACAGGACTAGCAATGCGTGCAGGGGTTCGCAGGGTTCAACCCTTCGTGGCACCGAGATTTGCATTTTCTATTCCCAGCAGTGTTACTGCTCCCATTTGTTTTTCTGGGGGACACCAGCGTTCACATTCCAAGTGATAAAATGGATAAAACCAATCCTGCTTATAGTATCAGTAAGCCAGCTTTTTTGCAACAGGGGAATATTTAGAAATCACACTCACATGTCACCACATAGTCATCTTTGTTTAAAAGCTCATCCAGTTTGAACAGTGAAAATAAAAAGTTTTCCACTTGGATTTTAGATGTTGTTTTGAGCAGATTCTCATGCAAACACAATCCTGGAAAGTTTGTGCTGCTGACACTGCACAAGGCTGCTTCAGACTAAGAGGACAGTAAAAATCTCCACAAAGTTAACTTTGTGTTTCGTAATTTATTTTTAAGCACAATGCTAATGCTTTAGACCTAGAACTGCTCATCTTCTGCCAAATGTACACCAAAATGGTGATGGACTTCTGCTTGCTATTAAGGGGAAATGAATTGAGTGATGCACTTCATGCAAAATATGAGTGACTCAAGACCAGATTCCCATCAAGGCCCTTGAATTTCAGACATGTTTAACAAGCAACAGCCATCTTAGCTGGGAGGCTTTCAGATGTTTAACCGAAAGAGGTTAACTGCGTCTTACACAGTATTTACAACAAGTGGGGAGGGGGGGAAAAGAAATCACAACTCCTCTGCGAACTGACAAACTTTACAGAACAACTACAGGGTGGTATTTTAGTGAGTTCTGGCCCTCTGGGTGTGTTGGCAATGGCTGCGTGGCTTCTGCAACCTAAAACTTCTGAAGGTAGCCTTTGTGCCTGCTAATTAAATATGTGCACGTACGGTATCACATTTTAAGACATGATATGGCATAGCATTTAGTAAAGATTAATAGTCTGAATGCCTGATACAATGAGCAGCAGACTGGAAGACATGTATGCTTAAATCAGAATGCAAGTTAGGGAGGCTCTCCCCAAACCGTAAAACCATGTTGCAGCTTATTCTATGTAAATTACTCTATGTCTTCATGATGCAGAGTCAGAAATTTTTCATCACAGTAGAATATAATATCTACACATTTTGTTACCCAGTTGCTACCCTTTTCTATTTGATTGGAGACGTACCCCTCTGCTGAGATAACTGATTATCCGTTTGGCCTGAACTCTGTGCAAAATCCTATGAGGGAAAGAAAAGAACAAACTGGCATCAGATTTTCAGATCTTACACCCGAGGAATTCAAACAGCGTTTTTAAGCCTTCACGGTCACTCAAAACTACTAAGACTTGGTGAAATCTGTAAATTACCGAACTTTGGCTTGTATGCTACATTTCCTTACAGAGTACTGCCAGCACTTCAATTCTGTCATATACAGTGGGGTTTTATACACTTATTTATACCTTTTTTCAACATCCCCCACCCCCCAAAAAAGCCAAAGACCAACCCCCGTTTTAATACACAACAGAAAAAACAAGGTTTTAATATCTCTTTAAGAGATAGTTATTATCATGACCTTTAATTTAAGAGAACATTTACTACAGATATATTTCTTTAAATCAAAAGGTGTTTTAGATTCACGCTCCTAACTCCAAATACACTCTTGGAAAATTCTTGTATTATCCCAATTTCATCGGCTATGGTTCCCGATGACCCTGGAGTCCTGATCTCCAGAGAGTAAGTGATGTTCTTCCACAGAGGTGATTAACTCTGGCCAATGCTGCAGCCAGCTGAGGAACCAGTTAATCTCTGCCCAGCGCGCCGTGCGATCCCTGCTGCTATCGGAGGGGAAGCTGCATCGTCTGGAGTCAGCAAGGACACTGACTTCACTCGGAACATCGTAGGATTGTGCAAGCCAGCTGCCCCAGTACAGAGAGGGCTTCTAGGATCCTGTCTATTGTTCAAGTATTCACTGAGCAGACAGTATTATTTGACACAAGAGATAGAGTTTAGCAAACCCTGGGTACTCCTAAATGTTTTTTAATTATTTCAGCACAACTAGAAACAGAAGTAAGAGACGGGATGATGCAAACTTCAGATGATGGAAATA